TATCTTATCATATCTATCAGATCACACTCTTGTAAGTTGCCTTTTAGGGATTGACAACCCCTATTTGTGTTGGTTGCGAGGATTTATTTGTTTTGTGCAGGTACGAGGGACTTGCACGTAGCCTCCTACTGGATTGATACATTGGATCTTAAAAACTGAGGGAAATACTTACGCTACTTTTCTGCATCTTCCCTTCCTCTTCGGGGAAAACCAACGCAGTGCTCAAGAGGTAGCAATAAGGATTTCTGGTGCCGTTGCCGGGGAGGTCTTCGCGAAAGTCAACATACCAAGTACCCATCACATACCCTTATCTCCTGCATTACATTATTTGCCATTTGCCTCTCGTTTTCCTCTCCCCCACTTCACCCTTGCTGTTTTATTTGCCCTCTCTCTCTCTATCTATCCTCCCTCTCTTTCTCTATTTGCCTCTTTTTGCCCGTTTACCTCTTTGTTTGCTTGTGTCTTAGTTTGTTTGCTTGTCGTTATGGCTAGTCCTTTACCTTCTGCCTCTATGTCTGAAATTGGGGAAACTATTGCCGATAATAATTCTGATGCTCCAACTAAAGAACCTACCATCTCACATATAAAAAGATGCTGTGTTGGTAGTGGTAATATTATTGGAAAAGGAGTTACTCAAGATTTCTTTACTTGTGCCGGTGTGTTACCTTCTATGGGTAGTTCTATCCTTCACAGAACTAGTAGCCTTGCGGACGCTATTGCCATGCTTGTAGTTGAACTTGAAAGACAATTCATGCACTTGCCGTCCTCCCATAGAGGCTATCCTCTTTGATCAAGAAGAAATAATGTGTTTTCAATCTCTAGATTATGTTGCTTTCAATCAAAATCTTAGAAAAAGGGTTCCTACCGATGTTTTAGTTGACAGAATCTCTGAACTTAATGACGATTTGGCTATTCGAAATAATGAACTAGGATATTCTCTTGAATATAGGCTCACAAAGTTCTGTCAAAAGAATGCTTATAATGATGAATTGGTAGTGCAATATGAAGGACCAAAGAAGGAACCTATACCTCCCACGGTTGATCTTGGGGAGTTTGTCCCATTAAATTTAGCCCTTTTGATTACTTTTACTTGCCTCAAAGAAAACTTGCCGCCGAACGTAGAGAATATGAGATGAGTTTTAATAATCTGTCTTACTATTATGGCAATACCTAGATCTATTCTTGCTTGTTATGCCTAGCTAGGGGCGTTAAACGATAGCGCTTGTTGGGAGGCAACACAATTTTATTTTTATTCCTTGCTTTTTGCTCCTGTTTAGTAATAAATAAATTATCTAGCCTCTGTTTTGGTTGTGTTTTTTGTGTTTAATTAGTGTTTGTGCCAAGTAGAACCGTTGGGAAGACTTGGGGAAAGTATTGTTGAACTTGCTGTAAAAACAGAAACTTTAGCGCTCACGAGAACTACTGTAATTTTTATTTGGAAAGTTCTATTTAGTTAATTCTTTTTGAAGATGATTAATAGATAAATTCCTCACGTCCAGCAATTTATTTTAGAATTTTTGGGGTTCCAGATCTTGCGCTAGCTACAGATTACTACAGACTATTCTGTTTTTGACAGATTCTGTTTTCCGTATGTTGTTTGCTTATTTTGATGAATCTATGGCTAGTAAAATAGTTTATAAACCATAGAGAAGTTGGAATACAGTAGGTATAACACCAATATAAATAAATAATGAGTTCATTACAGTACCTTGAAGTGGTCTTTTATTTTCTTTCGCTAACGGAGCTCACGAGATTCTCTACTTTATGTTTTGTGTTGTGAAGTTTTCAAGTTTTGGGTAAAGATTTGATGGATTATGAAACAAGGAGTGGCAATGGCCTAAGCTTGGGGATGCCCATGAAACATCCAAGATAATCTAAGGACACCTAAAATCCAAAGCTTGGGGATGCCCCGGAAGGCATCCCCTCTTTCGTCTACTTCTATCGGTAACTTTACTTGGAGCTATATTTTTATTCGCCACATGATATGTGTTTTGCTTGGAGCGTCTTGTATGATTTGAGTCTTTGCTTGTTAGTTTACCACAATCATACTTGCTGTACACACCTTTTGAGAGAGCCATATATGATTTGGAATTTGTTAGAATACTTTATGTGCTTCGCTTATATCTTTTGGGTTATATACTTTTGCTCTAGTACTTCACTTATATCTTTAAGAGCACGATGGTGGATTTGTTTTATAGAAACCATTGATCTCTCATGCTTCACTTATATTATTTTGAGAGTCTTAAATAGCATGGTAATTTGCTTAAAATCCTAATATGCTTGGTACACGAGATTAATAATAAAACTTTCTTATGAGTGTGTTGGATACTATGATAAATTTGATACTTGATAATTGTTTTGAGATATGAAGATGGTAATATTAAACTTGTGCTAGTTGAGTAGTTGTGAATTTGAGAAATACTTGTGTTGAAGTTTGTGATTCCCGTAGCATGCACGTATGGTCAACCGTCATGTGATGAAGACGGAGTATGATTTATTTTTTGATTGTCTTCCTTTTGAGTGGCGGTCGGAGACGAGCGATGGTCTTTTCCTACCAACCTATCCCCCTAGAAGCATGCGCGTAATACTTTGCTTTAATAACTTGTAGATTTTTGCAATAAGTATATGAGTTCTTTATGACTAATTTTGAGTTCATGGATTATACGCACTTTTCTCACCCTTCCACTTCTGCTAGCCTCTCTAATACCGCGCACCTTCCGCCGGTATCATACACCCACCATATACCTTTCTCAAAACAGCCACCATACCTACCTATTATGGCATTTCCATAGCCATTCCGAGATATATTGCCATGCAACTTTTCACCGTTCCGTTTATTATGACACACTCTATCATTGTCATATTGCTTAGCATGATCATGTAGTTGACATCGTATTTGTGGCAAAGCCACCATTCATAATTCTTTCATACGTGTCACTCTTGATTCATTGCATATCCCGGTACACCACCGAAGGCATTCATATAGAGTCATATTTTGTTCTAAGTATCAAGTTGTAATTGTTGAGTTGTAAGAAAAATAAAAGTGTGATGATCATCATTATTAGAGCATTGTCCCAGTGAGGAAAGGATGATGGAGACTATGATTCCCCCACAAGTCGGGATGAGACTCCGGACAAAAAATAAAAGAAAAGGAAGAAAAGGAGGCCATAAAAAAAAGAGAAAATGCCCAAATAAAAAAATGAGAGAAAAAGAGAGAAGGGACAATGCTACTATCCTTTTACCACACTTGTGCTTTAAAGTAGCACCATGATCTTCATAGTAGAGAGTCTCTCATGTTATCACTTTCATATACTAGTGGAAAATTTTCATTATAGAACTCGGCTTGTATATTCCAATGATGGGCTTCCTCAAAATGCCCTAGGTCTTCATGAGCAAGCAAGTTGGATACACACCCACTTAGTTGGACTAGAGGAGCCCATCTCGAGCTAAATAAGATTATTCTTTTTAGTAATGTAAGGCAACAAAAATTGAATAACGTAAGATAACTTTTAAATAAGATAGGCCACAACACAACATAAAAAACCACTATAAATTTTTATTTATTCTCTTTCAACTTAAGATTAGTACTTAATAGCGAAAGACCATGGATGAACTGACAAAACATGAAAATGAAGGTGTGTTTGCTCTTAAATTTTGGCAAAAAAAATATCTAACACATGGCTGGCCTCGTATCATATTGGGTTAAATTTTCTCTGCGCTTTTTTACAAATTTTCTCTGCGCTTAATTAAACTTTCATGTTTGCTAGTAAGTAATGTGGATAAAGATCACAGTACTAAATTACCCTATTTTCATAATACTCCATCCGTTCCTAAATATTTCCTCCGTCCCAAAATAAGTGACTCGATTTTGTACTAAAGCAGTACAAAGTCGAGTCACTTATTTTGGGACGGAGGGAGTATTTGTCTTTCTAGATATTTCAACAAATGACTACATATTAGAGTAAAATGAGTGAATTTAAACTCTACAGTATGTCTATATACATCCATATGTGGTAGTCCATTTTAAATATCTAAAAAAACAAATATTTAAAAATGGAGGGAGTATATATCAAGATTATTTAGTATAATTATATGATATCGAGCTATTGAGTGGGTCAATGTTGACTGAAGATCAGGTTGGCTTTTTTTAATCTAGTTATATAAATGGCTCATACTTAGCTAACTTTTTTTTGAGTCAGTCTTAAGTTGAACTAAAATACGAATCAATTTCAAACAGCTCACGAGCCTCGATATTTTGTGACACCCTATCTGCGTGACAATATTATGGCACACATCTCCAGCATATAACTGGAGGTGAGAGTCCGGACTAGTTTTATTATTATTATTCTTATGACAAGTGGTCATCGTGCCCACGACAGACCCCCGGGAGGATTCTTATAGTCCAGACTAGTGGTCACCTCCCAAGTCCCAATTCGTTCGATTGTGCGAGTAGTTTCCTGGGCCCAATGGTTTTTTTTTTCGAAAATACTAACGTCCACATGTGTAAGCGTTTGTATCTCACCCACACGCACTCGATGCGGTCCATCACGCTGCACAAATTTTGGAGCACTGAAAGTTGCCACGTCAGCCCACGGACTTGTGCGGGCTGAAACTAACCTGACCGAACGCCGCCGACCCCTCTCCCTCACCTTATCTTCCCACTCCTCGCCTCAGCTTTTCTTCCCCACTCACCCACACCAATACATCACTCCTCTTCTCTCCTCCCCCGCCAGCCTCTAATCCGGCGAAGCCCGTGGATCCCGGCGACTCGCGGCGAGGGCTGCGCTAGATGCGCGGTTGGAGGGCCCTAGATGGTGGTAGATGGCTGGATCCAACCCAAGCACGCCAAGGCACGGAGGCCACCCGTGCGGCCGTCTCCATGAGCGGCGGCGTGGCTATGACCAGGTCGAGGCGTTCGCCGGCGTTCGCGCGGCCCTGGAAGAGGAGAATGAGTCCCTCCACGCGCGGCCGCGGGGCGTGTCAGCGGCGGGGCGACGGAGATGACGAGGTGGAGCTCGAGGAGGTGCGGCGAAGCCGAAGACAACGAGACGCTACTCAAGGAGGCGGGACGCAGTCGGAGAGGAGCATCCGCGGATCAACGGGGGCTCCGGCGCCGCGGGATGGTCGTGGTGGACGCCGACAGGGGCAATGGCCCGATCGGCGGGCGGTTGGAAGGCACAGGTGAGGAGAGCAAGGCAATGAACGAGGCGGGGCGGGGACGCCACGCGCAGCTCGGGGCTCCAACGCCGCGGGATGGTCGCGGTGGACGCTGACGGGGGCGACTTTGGTAGGTGCGGCTGAGGAGGGCAAGGCGGCATTCAGCGTTGTCGGTGAGGGGCCGGGGCTGGGACGCCTCGCGGAGCTCCTCCATGAGCGGAAGCACGAGCTGTAGGCAGCGGAGATGTGCGTCGTGACCGCTGGAATGCCTGGAACATGCGCACGATGCCATGGTGGCGAGCAGCGTGTCCAGCAGTTTCCTTCGGAGAGCTTCCGTCCAGCCACTGGTGAGCAGGATCCCCATGGCGATCCCGGCCAATGCGCACGCCTGGATGCACCGGTGAAGTCGGGATCCACCAGATGCGCATGGAGTTACTTGGCCCCGGCAATGATTCGGATGGTGCGTTGCTGTTCTGCTAGTAGTACATTTGTTCTCATGCTCTGGTTTGCAACTAGATAGCTCTATGTCTTTTTCATTGCCTGATCTGTTCTGATTGAGGCACTAATTTTTCATCTTTGTGTGATGGCAACTTAACATTTTGTTGTATGCATGACAAATGGCAATTTTATTGTTTTGACATGGCAAATTCATAAAAAGATCACATGGCAATTTTATTGCATTGAAGATGGCAAATTTATTATACTATGGGGAATTCACTATTAATTGCAGATTTGTTTTTCATGGCAAAATATAATCAACTGACATGGCAATTTTTACAGCGGTGTATAGGTTCCTTCCATCTTTTGTTGTTAGTGAATAGTTGCCATGGCAAGTTGCTATTCAATTGTCAGAGTTAGTTTTTTGCCATGTCAAACTGAATTTTGTGTAAACATAATTTTGAAGCATCAATTTCTGAAAAGCCATTGCCATGGCAATTTTGATCATTTTTTTAGTGGTATTTCACATGCATGGCAATTTTTCATGGTATTTCACATGCACGGCAATTTTTCATTCACAAAAAATATGGCAATTTTGATATAAAAGAACAACATGGCAAATTTTTGAACAACTTTTTTATATTCTAAACATGGCAAATTTAGGGGTTTTGTCAAAACTCCAACGACAATCTTTATGCTTTTTTCTAACTTAACCATGACAAATTTAGTTTGTTAATAATGGCAAATTTAGTTTATTCACAATGGAAAATGTAGTTTACTGATCATGGCAACTTTAGTTTATTGGTTCATGGCAAATTTAGTTTACAAATCATGGCAAATTCAGTTTATTGGTTCATGGCAAATTTAGTTTACAAATCATGGCAAATTTAGTTTTCAAATCATGGCAAATTTAGTTTACATGAATTCGCGGTGGCAAGTTTTGATACGAATCTACCATGGTATGTTTGGATGTGAATCTGCCATGGCAATTTTTTTTGTTCATACTTTGATCTTCAACTTTTTGTGTTTTTTCGCACACGGCAAACTCACCATACAAAACATGGCAACTCTTTGATACAAATCTCCCATGTTTTCTATGATGAATTTGCCGTGTGCGAAAAAAATTTAGTGTATGTATCATGGCAAATGTAGTTTACGGGGCATGGAAAATTTTATTTCGTTTTTTGCAACATGGTAAATTCATCATACAAAACACGGTAATTCTTTGATACCAATTTGCCATGGCAGATCTCTTTGTTCATACTTGATTTTCAACTTTTTGTGTTTTTTCTAACACACGGCAATTTTAGTTAAACTTTCATGGCAATTTTAATTAAAAATGCCATTGCATTTTTTATCTTTTAACTGTCCTATCAAATTTTTTGTGTTCACATGATTTTTTTTACTATTTTGTGTTTTCTCACATGGCAATATTGAATTTTTTTTGTGATGGCAGATTTTCCATATTTCATTGGGGGATTAAATATGTGTTTATAAACCTTTGCCATTGTTAAATAACTCGAATGGCAATTTTTCTGCTATTTTTCAAAGCTGATGGCATTTTTAGTAGCTGAGCAAAATCTGGGATTTTATTTGTCAAAGAAAGAAAACAAAAGCTGGGCCTTTTCATTTAATTTGTTGTCGGTGGGCTTCTTGTTCCTTTTTTCACAGCAAAAAGGGCCTCATGTGATGGAGGCGTGCGGGCTGTGTGTCCCCCTAGCGAACGAATTCATGTGAGGGTTCGATCCCCTTGTGCTGAACGTGTGTGTGGTAGGGTGCTCTTCGTGCCACATGTGTGGGCAGTTTTAATATTCGCCCACACAGAGTCGTGTGGACTGCCTGTTGGATATGCCACATAGGGGCGTGTGGGCGGATGTCCATTGTGCCACACGTGTGGCAGTTATCGGCATCCTTCCTTTTTTGAGGCACCTGGCCCAATGAGATGGCCCTTCTATAGTATAATAACTTGAGCCTGTCACCCTTCCGTCCCGTCCAGGCGGTGCTCCCGATCCCGATCACCATGGCCACCGGAGGCGCGCCAGAGCCGAAGGAGGAGACCATCGTTCTCTCCGATTGGATGGTACTGGATCACAGAGGCCGCACCCGCTGCCACAATGGCCTAGATGCTGCTCGTGTGGATGTCAACAAGGACAAGACCGCCGCCCCACTCGACATGGACGGCGGCCTCTCCTGCTATGTCTGCTTCACCCTTGCGGCTCCTCAAAAAGGGAACTCTTATCTCAACCTCCACTTGCCGGAGGAACGTCCATTTACCACAGTCACCCCACCCGCCTATGCCTGCGTCCGGGCAAACGACAAGGACCTCGTCCTCTTCAACATCACCAACCCGAGCCGGACTTGCTACTGGGACCCCCGGTAGATCTGTTCGTCTACACGGCCGGCGGTCCTCCCCCCTCGGTGCAGCCGCTCCCTATGTACACCAAGGATAGGGAGAGGCCGTTCCTGATGGACAACCTCACCACAGGCATCCTGCGGCTCGCGAAGGACCGCTACATCTTTGCCGACCTCAATGTCTACCCCAAAAGAAAGGGCAATGGCATGCGTGCCGAACTCTGCGTCTTCAACTCCGAGACTGGAAAGTGGAAAATCATCCGCAAATTGGACCCGGGCAATGGCAGCCAGTTCCCCGAACTCTGGTCAACCGACAACGACGGCTGCTTCATGGACAATGTGCCTGTTAACCAAGGAGGAATTTGTTCGTGGTAATGGGTGGATGATCATGATTGGCAAGCATGCACGTCTGCGGTCATGTGAATCTGTGGGTGTGAAAGGTTACGATAACAAGTATCCTGGTGTCCCCAACTTTCAACTGTCTTCTCCAAATACTACCTTGAAAGGCCAACTGCATCGCAAAAGGCAAAAAAGAAAAGAAAAAGAAAGGCAACAGATAACTAGAGGAAGCTCTCCTAATATTTCGTAACATGGTTGTCTTTTATTAGCTTTCTGTTAGATATATGCCAATCTCACTCGTGTTTTTGCTTATTTATCTTTACTACATATACATGATGCAATACATATGCTGCCTGGTTGGGTTAATTGAAGCATTTATAATGTATTAATGCCATGAATTTTCTCTTAGTCTATTCATATAAATGTTTGACCTTTGCGTAGGCGAGCTTCCACGCCACCACACTTGTGACCTTTGGTTTTGATCCGTCCGACATCACGACAGTGCCATGAGAGTCCAACTCCAACTCACGTTGACACAACAAACGAACAACAAGAAGCACAACGCGAAGTCTTG